AATGTCAATGAAATCCTTAACCTTTGAACCATGATAAGCCGGGAACAATATCTTATAATTACATTTGAATATTGTATAATTCCATATAAGAGCACAATTGGTCTCGTTCAAAATTTTTATCTGAAATATATCGCACCATTTTAGCAATTTACAGGTTCATTTTCAGTGTACCGATGGGAAATTTTTTCCTCTCGGCAACGTTGAAATTCACTAAATACATTGAATTTTTTAAATCTTTTCTCATACATGTGAGTGAAGGAAGCGATGTTCAGATAATATACATAGATATAGATAATATAGCATAAATGTGGAATAATGTAAACTATTTTTAAATTTCTTTCCATTTAAAAATAAAACCTTTATATTAACGAGCTACAATCACGATAACGTCAATTTTTGCTATAAAATGAAATTTTTGTCATAGATCATCATTTGTCTAGTGTGTTTTATTCACCACTAACACGTCTTATATGACAGGCAGAAAGTAAGGCTTTTTTTCAGGAATTATAAACACAGTACATTTTTTAAAGCGAATTGACACTATACTTTGAGAATCAGTGTTTTGTAATTTCTTTGGTCATGATATTAACTTTGTTAGCAAATATAACCTATCATTGGGTCGTATTTTGACCAACATATTACATACTAATTGTTAGGCCTTTGTTTTTATACTAAATTTGACTTCTGAGTATTCTGTCTACCTGATCAATACATAGGGCTAACAACAGGTGTGATCGGTCGACAAGGAATGCTTACTCTGTCTAGGCACCTCACAGATCCCACCTGTGGAGTTTCCAGGGGTCCGTGTTTTATGTCCTGTTCACAGATTTCTATTGTTATATGGGTTGTTTTTTTTTAAATATCAATCATTGTTCGTTATCTTCACCTTTTTCATTATGCCTCGAAAACAAGATCAAAATGTTTGATGAACATTTAAAACAAAAATTGTGATTAATTCTCTTCTTCAAACGTCAGAATTAAAACAGAGATAAAGGAATATCTTGATATCTTTCTTCAATGGTGAAAAATGTAGATCACAAAAGAAAATGGTCGAACAAGGCGAGCGAAATCCTATGGTGCAACAAATATGAAGATGAAAAATTCAATCTCAATTATAACAAAATTTTCTTTTATCTTTCATCTAACATTAAAATACTTTAATGTTTGACTTTATGTAAAATCTCCACAATTAATTTGCAAAAATCTCAAAAAGATTGAAACTACTTGTCCATGAAATAGCATACACACACCAAGGAGGGCAAAAAGTATCATTTTCTCATAACTCAATTTTTTCATATGAGTGGATCTTCATTCTTCAATACAAGTTTCCTCAAAGTATGCTTAAAAATATACATTTTTCGTTTAACAAAAATTTGAGCAGAAACCCACTATACTTTAGAAATACACTATTATGGCACAGCATTTGTATATTTCCAAGAAATACTAAGTCCATTTAGTCAAGGGTCATATCACAAACATGATTTAAATGCCATAGTTGCCAACTCACCCAACTCACACAAACAAAAAATAAAAACGATATATTTATGTATCTATTAAAGAATCTTGGAAACAACTTCACTGGATGAAATAAAAAGATCGAGGATAGTATGAGACTAATGTACATAATATACAAATTGTTATTACGTCTGGAGATAAAAATTTCCATCAAAACCATGATTTGAACAGGGACGTTTAAACAAGGTCCCTGATTTGAATACTTTCAAAATTAGCTCAAACTTTTCCTCTTTCTTCCAAACACCAATGCAGATACTGAAAGGCCTTTCAGTATTTGAAAAAGAAAAATACACAATTACTTAAGGTCAATACTTTACAATGAAACCTTTGTTACAACGCACTTTGAAAAATTACGCACTTTGAAAAAAAATTTCAAAGTGCGTTAATTTTGGGACCACGTTAACGCACTTTGAAAAAAAATATTTCTTTTCAAAGAGCGTTAATATCAACGATATTAACGCACTTGTGAAAAAAAATGTGTACGGCTTGGTCAATATTCTTGCAGATTTTAGGTATGTAAAATAATTATTTGAACCTGGTTGAATAACTTTTCGGTGATGACGTCAGGATCTGAGATAAAGACGTTTAAAAGATTTTAGGAGTTGTTTCCAAAGGTTCTAGTAACTGTTATAAAAGGGAAATGGGTTCTTAGAAATAATGGAGGAATGATTGTTTAATAGTACAGTTCCGTTTCTTTTTTCTTTTCTTTTTAAAATCTTATCCAGTCTCTAATAAGTTCGGTAAATGTAGGTGTCGATAAGTGACTTAAAGCATCGCATTTTTCTTTCGGCAAAAGGGAGCAATTATGATTTTTCCATAGCATGAAAACTCTCTCTCTCTCTCTCTCTCTCATCTACTTTTCTATCATATTCATCTATCTATCTATCTATTGTGAACATATATGAAACAGTGGCTTACTCATTTATTTGTTAGTTAGAAAGTAAACCTTAGCCACATTACTCACTCGACTGAAATTTTTACCTCGTTCACTAATAACTTTTTCTCAAAAAAGTTATGCAGTCAGGTTACTTCTAAATCTGTAATTTGATATCGTAAAAACGCTAGGCATGTCAAATAGCATGATTTAATTACCATGTAAATGCACTTTTTCTGAGGAATCATTGTGGATACATATTGAATAAAGGTTATGCGGATCTCTTTAATATAGTAGGGTGCGTAATTTTTTTTTTTTTTCAGGAAAGCTTATCTCAATTTTTTCATCTATTTTACGTTAACTCAGTTTATTGAGAGAAATATTATCAATGTCATACCAGTTATGTAAATACATATATTTGTGTAGGAAAGATAGAGAGGGTTGGGCTGAGGGACTTTCTACCTGTCTTCTCTTCGTTCTCGTTGAGGGTAGATCAATTCATCAGTTTATCAGAAGAAATATACATGTAACAAAATACTATCTATTATTAAAATCTAAGTCCAGAATTTTTGTTTTATACGTATTTTTTCAAAGTGCGTTAAGTGTCTCCATGGTAAAAAATGTTGATGTACACTCTTAACGCACTTTGAAAAAAAATTTCAAAGTGCGTTGATTTTGTCCCAATTTTAACGCGCTTGAAATCTTTTTTCAAAGTGAGTATTTTTTTTCAAAGTGCGTTGCCATAAACCTTCAATGTCCCTTTATCATGTTAATTTTATCAATAAATTAAATTCATAAAATATTCAAATTTTTGCCATTGTAAGTTACAAAACATCTTTTCAATAAAATAATTCTAAATACTTGAGTGCTCATTTTTATATGCAATATGAAATATTATATAATCATGGTAAATATGTCGTTTGCGCATTATGACCAGAATTTTTTATATACTTTCTTAAGAGATTCATGACCCTCTTTTTCAATGTTGGAGGTTGGCAAGTATGCATAATATTGTCAGGAGTTGTGTAGCGTAGTGGTCACTGGTTAGCGTGTTAGTCTCAGAGGAAAAAGATACTCTGGATTTTTATTGAATAGCTCATTTTTTTTTACCTCTACTGGTCAGAGACCAGAAGAGCTTATGCGATAGTAAGGTGTCTGTCGTCCATCTGTCTGTCTGTCCGTCCGTCTGTAAACAATTTTTCAAAAACTACTCCTCCTACAGTTTTGGTCTGATTTCAACAAAACTCGGAACATAAGTAGAATACACTAAGATACATAATTCTATTTACCAGATTTTTTATTTCAATGAACGGTGTTGCCATGGTTACTAAAAGTAGAGATTTCTGGAAAATATATTCAAAACGCTACTCCTCTTACAGTTTTAGTTTGATTTCAATATAACTTGGCACACAAGTAGACTACACTAAGATACCTAATTCTGTGTATCGGTTTTTGATTTCAGTGAACGGTGTTGCCATGGTTACTAAAGGTAGAAATTTCCTTGAAAAACTTTCAAAATGCTACTTCTCCTACAGTTTTGATCTGATTTTAATATAACATTGCACACAAGTAGACTACACTAAGATACATAATTCTGTATATCGGATTTTGATTTTGATGAAAAATGTTGCCATGGTAACTAAAAATAGAAATTTCTGTGAAATAGTTTGAAAACCCTACTCCTCCTAGAGTTTTGGTCTGATTTCAATATAACTTGGCACACAAGTAGACTACACTGAGATACATAATTGTCTTTATGGTTTTTGATTTTGTCGAAGGATGTTGCCATGGTTACTATAATCGAAATTTCTGTAAATTTTTTTTTAAAGGCTACTCCTCCTACACTTTTAGTCTGAAATAAATCTTGCCACAAAAAGAGACTAAACCAAGGATCATTATTCTATTTATTTCTGTTGCAAAGTTTCAAGTCCAAGTGCCATTTTTTATTTTTCTTTTTGTTATAAGTACAAACCAGTAGAGCTACAGTCTCTTCAGAGACTTCTGGTTTAAATATTAAATGAATAATTTTCCGCAGAAAAGTTGTGTCATAATTTCATAGATTTCAATAAGACTTTATATCTTAATACTAATTCACAAATTCAATACGATTTTTATGTATCTGAAGCTATATAGGCATTCTACACGCATTGTTCGCCCATCATCTTTTGCAAGACATTATTTTCGAGATAGGTTCTTCGTACTTATATGCCGGACAAAATTTTCACTAATTCTGGTTATTGCAGTATAGAATACAAACTTATCAAAATATTTCTGAGAACAAAATTTTCGCGAGCAGATGGTCTTGCATATTTATGTGAAAATAAATTCTTGCGACTAAAATGTGATTTACAGTACATGTATCTCCTTCAAGATCCTCTTCAATCTTATAAGAAGTCGGACGGAAGACCCACTCGTTGCTCGCAATGAGAATTTCATCTAATAAATATTGTTATGTGCTATTTTTCAGCTGTTGCTAGGATTCAATGTAAAGAATGCTATTTTTGCGTTTTTAAAGCTTTCAAAGTTTTCTTAAACATGCGATGAAAATAATTGTGCAAGAACATGAAACTTCTGGATTGTCAATGTAAATCACTTCTTTTTTGTGTTTAAGGATGCCCGTGTATAACTTGTATAAGCCTGACCCCGCAGATCATGCAACAAGCTACTGCCCACCATCTGCGCCAGATCTATCTCCGGACACTGGATATGACAGACTGTTACGCTCTGGAAGATGAGGGCCTTAGAGTGATTGCAAATCATTGCAGTCAGCTTCAATTCCTATATCTCAGGAGATGTGTTAGAATAGGTGATATTGGACTCCAATATATTGCTTATTATTGCTCAGAACTCAAGGAGTTGAGTATTAGTGATTGTAAAAAAGTGACCGATTTCGGTGTGTGTGAACTTGCGAAAATTGGGACCAATTTACGATATCTCAGTGTCGCAAAGTGTGATAAGATATCCGATGTTGGAATCATACAGTTGTGTAAACAATGTACAAAACTTCGCTACCTGAACTTAAGAGGTTGTGAGGCTGTATCGGACGACTCTGTGGATGTTCTTTCCCGACACTGCTCAAAAATAAAATCCCTTGATATTGGAAAGTGTGACATCACAGACGAGGGACTTAACGTTCTGGCTCAGAATTGTCCACAGTTAAAGAAACTCAGCCTCAAATCATGTGATGCCATAACTGACATAGGTGTCAAGTTCTTGGCAAAATCTTGTAGGCTGTTACAGCAGTTTAACATTCAGGACTGTCATTTGACAGCAGACGCTTATAGAACAATTAAAAAATATTGTAAAAGGTGCTTTATCGAACATACAAATCTGGGATTTTTCTAGTTATGTTCCCCAGACGAAGTTTGGGAACATATTGTTTTTACTCTATTTCTTCTTCTTCTATTAAGGTCTTCCGTTTTAGATTGATTGATTGATTGATTGTATGTTGTTTAACGTCCCATACGAGAATTTTTCACTCATATAGAGACGTCACCATATACCGGTGAAGGGCTTCAAATTTTGACCTTTAATCGGCACTCAGGGCCATTGAGCAGTGAGGGATCTTTATCGTGCCAACGCCTACCGTGACACGGGGCCTCGGATTTTAAGGTCTCATCCGAAGGACCTGCAACTTCCACTTCAAAGTGCTGAGCGCATGGCGAAGGAACAGTTGCTACCCATTTTTTATCGACTTAGGTCAGTCGCGGCCGAGATTCGAACTCACGGAGCGAGCGCTCTACCGACTGAGCTACCGTGAACGGTCCTTCCATTTTAGATAGAAGACCTTATAGTTAATGTACTGTTATTAGGGTCTTCCGTCTTCTGCGGAAGACCCTTCTATTATTCTATTGTTGATTTTTCACTTTTCTTTTTACTAGAGTTTTCCGAGCTTCCTTCGGAAGACCCTTCTGTTATTCTACTGTTTCTTATTATTATTTTATATATTTTTTCCCGCCGATTTTCAGCAGGCGATTTCTCGGAGACCTTTCGTCCGATTGCTATGAAACTTTCAGGGTAGATACAATGTGTTATTGCCTAAAAACGGTTTTTTCAAATTTTAAATATGTAACTCCATTCATGAGTTATTGCCCTTTAATCGATATTTGGAGGGTCTCTTGTCCAGTAGAAATCTACGTAACGACATATGATATTTGCATGAAAATTGGAGAACTTGTAACTAATACATTGTAGATTTGCAGAACATTAAAATTGTAGGCTAATTTTATTAAGTTTGAAAGCTATGTGACGGCAAATTTTAAGAATTATTTTTCCATGAAATTTTGCTGCTTTTTGTTTAATAACTTTTAAACTGATAAAAATTTGGTAAGACATATAGAATGAAAGTTGTGTGTAATTACGAGAGCTTTCAGATAACATCAAGAAAAAGGGGCTGGCCCCTATATTTAGGGGACAGCAGGTCATAAAAGTATTTTTTGGATAGCTAAAAATATTAAAATATTATGAAAAAGTTTGAATGACATAATTTCTAATATATTAAATCTTGTCATGTGGTATAAAGAAAAACAAGCTCCGTGCTATATTTTATTATATTTTATAAAATAATTATTTGAGAATCGTACAGGAACAAGTTGTCTACAAACCAGCCACGCCTTTTTGGGGCGTCGTAGCACATGCTTGTACGGTTTAAGATAGTTGTTGTGTTTTAAATAAATTGTTTTGATTCTATTTCTCTGTTTTCTTTTATTTAAATCGTTTATAAATGCAAGTTATTTACACGAATAAAGGTAAATCAACATGTACTAATGCATCCGTATAGAAAAAGTCTAAATCGGGGCCTCTTGTTTGTAACCTGGATGTAAACAATCACGAGCGGCATTGTGGGAAGGAGGATACTAAAGACCTGATATACGAAAAACGTGATTTGATCTGATGCTTTGTTAGTAAATATTTAATAAAAAAGAGTAGTTTGGTATAGCATAATGCTTCATAATCAATATTTTTTAAAAATAAATCATGTATTATATTTAATCTGATTATTTTATTTTTTTAAAATATCATCAGGTCTAATATCAGGTCTTTACTATATCAAGTCTTTAGTACGTCCGTGGAAGTAGCCATGCAAGTCGGAATTACAGACAGAAGACTGAGAAGTGAAGTTGACAGTTGTACATTTTCTCAACGTGAAGGAGCCGTATGTAGACATGCATATTTAATCCACATCTACGAAGCACATGAAATCGTTGGCTGCATACAGGGAGCATTAGTCTTAAAGGGATATATATGGAAAGCCGTAGGGTACCCCCACATTATTATTATTTTTTCCTATATAATTATACCAAAAATAATTATCTCTTCCAAAAATAAAAATCTTGCTTTTTTTGACAACATTATTATTTTTCCTGCAACAATTATAATCTTGTCTGTCAAACGTGTACACATTATTTTTATTTTGTCCTAAAATTATAATTATTCACACCTCACAATTATAATCTTGCCAGTCAAAGTAGACACATTATAATGTTTCGCCTCCAAATTATAATCTTGTCAGTCGATGTCTACACACATTATTTTTATTTCGCCTCAAAATTATAATAATTATTCTTACTTAATAATTATAATCTTGTCTGTCCATGTGTACACATTATTTTTATTTCGCCTCAAAATTATAACAATTATATTCCACATCGATCATACAATAATCATAATGTTCAACAATAATAATCTCGACCAGAAAAGATGCAACATTATTATTTAGACGCTTGACAAAATCAAACGTTTGTATGATTCTGATGCACAGCACAATTATAATCGTTCACCAATTTCGAGAAAGATTATTATTTGGACGCTTGAAAAAGGAAACGTTTGTCTGCCGAAGATAATCACGTGACTCAAGGCCATGTGCTAGCATCAACAGTGCGGCAGTGCCACTGAAAGTCAGGCAGTATGCCGGTAAGTAAAGATGATTTTGTGATATTAATGTACAAGTAAGTGATTTACATTCATTCGATAAAGGAAATGTCTCAGAAATCAGCTGTCATCATATTGTAATTGAACTACGGCATCCGAAGAAACTAGTTCGAATTATCTCTGTACCTTTGTATAGGGGATGGAGATTGCATGGTGATTTTATGTTCCATATGTAGATAAAGTGGCGATAAATTATATGATATATCTTTACTAACAGATATATCTTTACTAACAGTATATGCTCGTATTTTACAGTTTTAGCTTGAATATTCTCTGCAGTAAATCATTTACATTGAGTCTTACTGTCAGCTGAAAGTCTGACTATTGATGACTTGTCTTGATTTGCTGATTTTTTGTAGTTATCTATGATTGGACCAAAACATTTCTCTTAATATGGCACCAAACACCTATGTTTGTGTCTTTGTTGTTTGTTGTTTAATGTCCCTCTCGAGAATTTTTCACTCATATGGACCTATACTCGGCACTCAGGGTCATTGAGCAGTGAGGGATCTTTTTCGTGCCAGCACTTAGCTACCGCAACAAAGGTTTATATGGTCTATTCTGAAAGACTGGTCTCCACCTCCCGCAATGGGATTCGAACCTGCAACGTAAGGATCAACTCCTTACTCAGCGACTCTAAAGCAAATGCTTTATTAACCACTGCGCCACACAGGCGACCCGATGTTTGTTAACATAGCCTATGTTTGTTAACATGAGCAAGAGCTATGTTATTGTTAATTTTTACATTCTACCCGGTATGTTCAATTAACTACCAGTTAGCTGCACAAATCACTAAATACAATCAGGCAACACTCGTGTGTTGGATTTGGTTTTAGCTCACCTGAGCCAAATGAACATTTTGACCGTCTGTAAACTTCACATTTTCGACTTCTTTTCAAGAACTACTGGGCCAATTTCAACCAAACTTGCCATAAAGTATCCGTGGGTAAAGGGGAATCAAGTTTGTTCAAATGAAGGGCCATGCATACTTCTAAAGGGAGGTAAGTGCAAATTAGTGAAAAATTAATGGCATCTTTTAAAATCTTCTCAAGAACCACTGGGCCAGGAAAGATGAAACCTGTGTGGAAAGATCTTCAGGTAGTGTAGATTCAAATTTGTTTAAATCATGACCCCAGGGTTAGGGTGGGGCTAGATAGAATGTTCTATCGTTAAAATGATATTGTCCTACGGACCCGGTTTAATGATAGAATTCGTTCCATGTATTGACAATGTTGCAAAATAAACACGGGCGATAACTCGTACTCTTTGCATTTTCTATGAACAATCCAGAGAGTTCCAAATGTCAACATAGCGGTAAATTTGAAGCGAGGAAAAAACGATGAGAAAATGATTTTAATTTTCGTATTTATATGGATTATATTTTAGGTTAAAAGGCATATACAATCTCAAAAAGGTTTGTTATGATTAATTTGATTGTTATTTTCAGTGCAACTCCTTTTGTATTCTTCAAAATCATTTCGAAGTGGACCCACTCCGATTTGCTACATTGCAAGCATATAGGACGTATTCTAACTGTGGTGGGGCAACAATGAATGATCAAAGTTTTACAAAAGAATACATAGGAAAAATCTTTAAAGAATTTTCTTCTCAAGAACAGCAAAGTAATGATTGGTGATATTTATATGGAAGCATCCTTAGGTAGTATAGATTCAGATTTGTTCAAATCATGACTCCTGGGGGTAGAGTGCAGCCTCAAGGAAAGTACCCACTTATAGGGCAAAAAAAATCTATAAAAATCTACTAAAGCCATGATTAGTGAAAGAAATATGGAAGCATCCTCAGGTAGTGTAGTTTCAAATTTGTTCCAATCATTCCAAAGACACTGCTCAATGACTCAATGACCTTTTGAACCAAAAAATTTCACTTCTGTTTTTCCTGCCACTGCCATTAAAAGTTCTAAATATGAGAATATCTACATTTCTTGTTCAATCATCAGTCACCATGAGAAAAAGAAATTAAGCTATAGTTTTTGAATTATTTGCACATTTAATTTTAGGAGCAACAGTCTTGATTTTTAGAGGCAGGTTTTAAAGAAAGAAATCAGTGTTGTAAAGAAAGAAAAAGATTTTCCACTCAAAGAATTATGGATGACACAGAGGTAAAAAGGACAATAAGGGTTAGAAAGAATTAAGAAATTATTTATTTATTACATTGGCAGATTTACCTGGGGGGAGGGGTGGGGTGGGGGTTAAGAAAATGTAATGGGTACTTGCAAATTTTTACATTGAGATTTTTTTAATTTATTCTGCAGAAAATATAAATTTTAGGATGTACATAATGTAGTAGGTGCTAAAGTTAGATTAACACTCTTTTGATATGTTTAAAACAGACATCTACTTAATAATTAATTATTTACAATTTAGCTCACCTGAGTCTAAGGCTCAAGTGAATTTTTCTGATCAAAGAGTGTCTGTCTGTCATGTATAAATGTTTTGTGTCATCTCTAAATTTTCAACTTTTCAAATTTTTTGTCCAGAAACCAACCCAATTTATCACAAGGCAGTATTGGGTGGAGAGGATTTGAATTCATTCAAATGAAGGACCAAGGGGAGATAATTAAGAAAAAGTTAAAGTTTGGTGGTGTCATTTGAAAATCTTCTACTCAAGAACCACTGGGCAGAAAAGTTGAAACTTATGTGAAAATTCCCTGACATAGTGTAGTTTCATGTTCAATTAACACCCCCTTTGAGAGGATGGAGCCAAAATATGGGATTAAAAATCTGCATGGGAATATATATTACTAACTAGAAGTTTGTCCATAGGACATGAATCCCCACCCAGAGTATATTAGTAATGCAACATGAAAATTTGTGTATGAAGTTTGATGATGATATCTTTAATATTTGTTTGTTTGTTTTGTTTTTTGTTTGTTTGTTTGTTTTTTTTTTTTTTTTTGGTAAAACTTAGTTTTATAAACATATACAATAAAAGTAAAGGAAAGGTCACTGGGACAGTGAAGGTAAAAAAAAAATGAACAAAGTTGATGAATTCTCAACAAATTATGTATCAGAGCTTACATAAAAGTATCTTGAATAGTTTTGTTACAAGTGAGTTATGTGCTTGTATAAGAAAAAAGTGATATCAAGGTCAAAGGGAAAGTCATGGTCAACAATTGTTGTTGCAGTTCAAAAACACTCTTCAATACATGTATGTTTCAGTGTATAAAGTTTGATAAAAATATCATGATTATTTCTTTAAAACTGAGCTTAAAACAAATTTGAAAAAAGTCAAGATTAAAAATGTTCATGCAACTGAATAGCTCTTATCAATATGTATAAGCATATGAAGATAATCAAAATCTCTTCAATAGTTTCTTTGAAACTGAGCTACTCACTTATTTAAGGAAAGTGAGGTCAAGGTCAAAGGAAAGGTCAAGTAAAATAATGATTATGACATTGAATAGAACCCATCAGTATATATCAGCACATATATAAGGTTTGAAAAAAATATCTTAAATAGCTCTTGAAACTGAACTAAAGAAAAATTTAAGAAAAGTGAGGTCAAGGTCAAAAAATGTTCATGCTGTTGAGTAGCTCTTATTAATGATTTATATGTATCAGCATATGAAGTTCAAGTGTGATGGAAGGACAGCAGGACATGTTATTGGGGTTAAAATTAATTTAATTATAAACAGTTAGGCTAAGGTGAGGCCACAATATTGGGTCATTTTTCATTTGGAAAAAAGGGACATTTTTAAAAAATTCTGCAGGACCAAGGTGACTAAGGTGAGCACTGTGGCCCTTGTAATTGTATTTAATTCATCAACAATCAGGTGAAATATTAATTTTGTTACATTTCAGTACTTCCTATTGATGATGTCATAACCAACTTTGAAAAAGTTTTGTTAGAAAGAAAAAGGATCTGAAGAAGGAGAAAGATCTGTTTAGATTCAGATGGATTAATAGACTGTCAGACCTTTTGCCATCACTTAATTTTGTACTATTAGTTCTGTAACACTGAGCCTATAAGCTTTTTACTTGATGGTTTATCTAATTTGAGAGAGCAGAGTCCATGATATCAGTCTTTAAGCATTTCAAGATTAGCAATACAGAATATGTACAGATGTAATAGCAGATAAAAATCCCACACAAGCAGGACACTGATATAAAGTTAATGGAATTTCAAGATATTTCATTTCTCTCTTGTGTGGATTGATTTAAGAAAAAAGGTTTATGCCAGAAAAATATAATAAATTAATTACTTGAGTCTTGTTTTGTGCTTATATTTTTAGGTCACCTAAGTCAATCAGGTGTCCTATTGCTATCTATTTTCATCCGTCATCGTGCGGTGTGCGTCGTGCATTGTGTGTTAACATTTGAACATTTTTAGCTTCTTCTCTGAAACCACTTAACCAATTTCAACCAAATTTGGCATATAGCATCTATGGGTGAAGGGGAAAAAATTATGAATTTCATGGTCCCTGCCCCCATGGGGCCTGAGGGGTGGGGCTAAAACCACCATAATTAATGCAAGCTTTAAAAATATTCTTCTTTACTCCTTGACATCAAGCAGTCAAAATGTTGGCACGATTGTAATAAGCATTGAGCTCTCTACCAAAATTGTGAAATTCATGTCCCCAGGGACGGGGTTCTGGTGCTAGAGTGGGGCTCTGTAGAACATATAGTGAAAGTGCATTATTTCTTTGAAAAATCTTCTTCTCTGCTCCTGGGTATTAAATAAACTAACTTAGTACATAGTTATGATGAGCAAGAGTGCCTCTTTCAAAATTTTGAAATTTCATGGACCCTGGGTCAGGGGTTCTGGTGTTAGGGTGGGGCTCTATTGATTATATAATAAAATTGCATTAATTCTTTGAAAATCTTCTTCTCTGTTCCTGGATATTAAATAAACTAAGTACATAGTTATGATGAGCATGGCTGCCTCCTCAGAAATTATGAATTTCATGGCCCCTGGGCCAGGGGTTCTGGTGTTAGGGTGGGGCTGTATTGATTACATAGGGAAAAGGCATAAATTCTTTCAAAATATTCTCTGCTCCTGGGTATTTTTCAAACAAAGGAAGTGCATGGTTATGATAAGGAAGAATGCCTCTTCCAAAATTGTGAAATTCATGGCCCCTGGGTCAGGGATTCTGGTGATGGGGGGGGGGGGCTCTATTGATTATATAGTAAAATGCATAATTTCTTTCAAAATATTTTTGCTAATACTGGTTATAAAGTAAAGAAACAAGTGTATAGTTATGATGAGCAAGGGTGCTTCTTCCAGAATTGTGAGTTCATGGCAAATGGGTCAGATATTCTGGTGTAAGGATGGGGCTTTATTTATTTAATAATATAGTGAAAATGCATTTCTTTGAAAATCTTCTATGCTTCTGGGGATGTTCAAGGCAAACAGAGTAAAAGTTTTAATATGCAAGGGTATTTTTACCAGAATTTTGAAGACCTTGACCATTTAGTCAAGTGTTCTGGTCCTGGCCAGGGCTCAATTAAGGTTTTGCCAAAGGTCAACGTGTCCAAAAATTTATTTTTACAATAGCTCCAAAACTATGTGGTTTATAAAGTTCAAACTTTTACAGTTTATAAATATATCATTGATTAACAGATAGAAAGTATCACTTGATAACAAATACTTAAAGAAAGTATTTATTGAGAAAAATTCTTTTAAAAAAATGCATATATTTTCTTTAAAATACACCTAATTAATTCCGTACTTTTAGTGAAAGTCATCATTGCGGAAACAATATATGTTTATCAATGAAAGGCAAGTTGGACTTCGATAGCCTCTGGAAAGTTGTTTTCCCTGTTTATTTTATCCAAATGTTAAGATTTGAAACCGAAAGTACATTGCAAATGGCGGATTTTACAGGGGTCTTGTCTTTATACATGTCATGCTTTCAATAACAGCCTTTCAGAGACCATTCAAGTCCAACTTGCCCTTCATTGATAAACATATATTATTTCTTCAATGATGGTTTTCACTAAAAGTACAGAATTAAGCAGGTGCATTTTTTTAAAATATGCAATTTTTTTGAAATTGTTTTTTCTCAAAAAATATTTTTTTTAAATATTTGTTTTTAAGTGATACTTTCTATCTCTTAATCAATGATATATTTATAAACTGTAAAAGTTTTAACTTTATACCTCACATAGTTTTGGAGCTGTTGTAAAAATAAATTTTTGGGCATGTTGACCTTTGGTAAAACCTTAACTTTTATTCTGCTGAGCAAAGTTATTCCCCTTTGCCATTCACCTTTGATAATTTATCAATGTAAATAATATATTTGAAAGATTAATAGAATAAGAGAATTATGCAAGAATATTTATTGTATAATACAAAAAGTACTTTCATAGTTTTAATGACTTGGAAATAATGGATGAATAAAAATGAGACAAAAATAACATCTTTTTAAATATTCTTTAAAGGCCAAGAGAGGCCAATATGGGGTTAAAAAATAGACATTTTGTTAATAGTCTGCATGATAATAGTGATAAATGGGGGGGGGGGGGGGGATAGATACTAGACTAATTATTTTGTTGATGCTAATCATACTATTTTTCTTGCTTTTGGGCAACAAAGCTTCATTTATCAGTTTATGGATCCTCTAAATTGTTGTATTGTACTCAGGTGATCATTAAGGCCCTTGGGCCTCTTGTTTGGAAATCTACCTACATGCAAGTTTTTTCAATACTAGATTTGAGTGTAAATTCCTTCTCTAGGTCTAGCATATGGAGGTACTGCATAACTGTCATTTTTATGGCCATATAGTAGCTCCCATATTTTGAATATGTATTTTCAATGTTGGTGAACAGTATTTGGGTCAATGATTATAACATGTATATGACAGAACTCCAATAAGTCAATCTGGCTTTTCCAACATGCCTTCCTGTGCATGTTTGTCATTCAAATCCAAGACAACACCATAAAAAAAAAATCATCACAATTTATTACCCATTTTCATATAATTTTAGTACATTCCATCTCCCACCCCGCCCTGAGTGGCAAATTTTGGTCTTGATTTTTCGACAAAGAGTAAATATTACAATATAATAATGTACCTCTTGTCACCAAATGGGTAGGTTAATAACACATCTTTAAATAAAATAAATGTGCAAATTACTTTCAGGAAAATGGCAAAGAAATTATTTGCAAAATATTCAAATAGCAAATGCCTCGATTACTTTGGTATACATATATACAAATTTAACAAGAGGCCCAGGGGCCACCTCGCTCACCTGACTAATGTGGCTAGGAAAAAAGCAAAAATCAGTTTAGTATTGAAAAGCTTAAATGCACAAGTGGTTCCGACCTACCCCTAAAAAGGGGGAGTATGATTTGAACAATATTGAATCTACACTAAGGATGCTTACATTTTTTTTTTTTTTTGACTGTGACCTTTTTTTACTAATAGTTTGAACTTTCATTGTGGCCCCACCATACACCCAGGGGGTCATGATTTGAACAAACTTGAATCTACACTACCTGACAATGATTCCACGCGAGTTTCATCTTTCCTGGCCCATTGGTTCTAGAGAAGAAGATTTTTTAATGGTGCCATTAAATTTTCGCTATTTCGTAATTATTAAAGTTTACAATGACAACGAGAGACAACGGACAAATTTTGATCAGAAAAGCTCACTTGAGCCTTTGGCTCAGGTGAGCTAATAAATTCAATCAATATAAATGCAGAAATTCAAGTTTTTTTTTAAACATGCAGATCCTAGTTCATCAGCGGTAATCTGAGACATGGATGTGACATTTTAAATGGAGTATCAAATGGACATATTTCAAATAGAAATTTATCAAAAATGCATCACTTCAAATGGAGTGTCAAATGATGTCAAAAGGACAAATTTCATGTACAAATTAATCAGGAACAACACATGCATTCTTTCATCAAGAATTCTCTGAAATTTGCCAAGACTCCTCTTTCTTCAAAGTTATTCACATTGCAATTTTTTTGTCCAGACCAGCACACTCTTCTATCAAGATTTCTCTGATTTTTATCAAGCCTGTGTTATCTTCCCATTGCAAGATTTTTGTCCATAGGTCTTAAACTTATGACATGCTCAGAGTCTATCAGGGTGAAGTTAAGACTCCATCATCAAATTTTTGGTTCCTGAACCCTGAAAAATAACATCCAAAACACAATTAGAGTTTTTATAATTATCATGCATAATCAAGGGACTGGGTAGGATGGAGAATTTTTTTCATGATAAGTATGACAAGTGGAAGGCTTTCAATGTGACAGCAAACTGGGTATTCCTTGTGTGAACAGAACTGGCATTTCTTACATGAATAAAAAAAATTGTCCATTTGCAAGAGTTATTTCCCTTTATGGAAAAAAACCCCTCCCCATTGTTCTCACTATATCCTTTGTAACTTGCCTGTAAATTTTTAAAAAATCTTTAAACTCCTTTTGACAATTTTATACCGTATCTTTATTGGCAAAGTATGGCAAAAAAAAAACAAACAAAATAAATCATAATGAACATACACTAGGCTATTTTGCATAGAAATAAAGATCCCATGGGGCACATTGCTCACTTGAGCTCTTTGGCGTTCAGTATTGAAAAGTTAAAATTCATACTGGGTCCGAACTAATCCTAAGGGGAGGGAAGCAGGCATGATTTGAACAAACTTAAATCTACACTAACTGATGATGTTTTCTATTTCTTTGACTAAGGCCTAGATAAATAAATTGTGTGTTTTTGGTTCCCCGACTGACCATAAAATATATGAGCCAACCCTGAAAAATTTATCCGCTGATATCTTTCCGGAAGTAAACAATTCCATTTTCACTATTAGAAATCCAAATCTCGATCACTTCGGTATTTGGGAAAATGCATATCCTATACACCTTAAACAGAAATGCCATTATTAAGCCAACCTTTTGGGAAA